AGCTGATAACAAAATTCGTTATTGATCGGTAAACAAGTCCACGTACATGATCGTATCAGCTGCTCAATCAACAAATTAGACATTAAAAAAATGACTAACATTAAAATTGAACTGCGTTGGTTTCACATATTTTCATGAATGAAATTTTCCTTTTTTTCAACAAATTTTTTTAATTTTATGATATTTAATTTTTTATGATATATTTTTTATTTCTTCATTGAGGTTAACATATGCACAGGAAAAACTTTGTTCACACGTAGGCGTACGTAGGCCAACTTTCGACCCACTCTTTTTAGTTTATAATGTCGCCGATTTTTTTTCCTCCACTTATAATAACAAGTCCGGATTTTGTTGTTAGTTTTGTTGTTTAGTGTAAAATGATTTTTTTTGGTGTTAATAAATATGCACAATTTTGGGTTTCCGCTTATGAAAAATGCACTTAGACAGCAACCGAAAAATAAAATGCCACGAGGAGGAGGCAACAATGGCCTGATTTCAACTTGTGAGATCACAACATAAACGCTGATGATGTAGCTAAAGGAAGTATGCTTTGTTAATGCAAATTGCAGTACAGCTAAAACGAAAAAAGTTTATTTATTACTTCCAAGCATTTTATTAGACGCTTTGGTGTGTTGCAGCCGCACATTCTCTTTTCTGCAGTTTAACAAAATTGTGGACACGGTCAGTACTTTGAAATCTTTAACTTAATTTTTTGCACCCACACACGTGTTCACTTTTACGCGTACTTGAACGGATATAATGCAATATTTTTTTTTTAAAATAGTTTATATACTCACTTCTTGAAACAATTTTTACTTGAAAGGTCTCTTATAAAGTCTCTTAACTCGGCGTTTTATTCGCAAGCTATTAAAACTTAAAGTAACTTAAAGTAACCACAATAACCACAAGCTCTCGTTTTCTATACATTGAAAGTATGCCAGGTTATCAATCCGAAAAAGGAACAATATGGCATTCTTCTACTTTCGCCACAAGTTACTAATTCAAATTGTTATTTCACTGATTGAAGAAAAAAGACATATTCTGTTTATACATTCCAATTAAATTTACAAACTCTCCTAATGATACATGATGGTATCAACCCATTTATAATTCGGTATTGTCACCCAAATTTTGAGCTATGATCTATTGCATAATGTAAGCAGCTAACCAATTTACAAAGCAAGCTTCAAGTTCATGCTCAAAGATAGTTCTCGGACCAAAAAAAAACTTTACCAAATAAATACTTTAGTTTATTTGTCAAATAATTTGATGTTTGTTAAATTAATAGTCACTATCGCATAGCAAATAAAACAATCTAATACAATTCTTATATGCTAGTCTTGACCATTACAATATCTACAGACTCAAGTTATTCAAGGAAGAACAACCATTACACCGCTACTTCTGTCAATGAAGATATAAATTAAGCATTTGTCGTGAGATTAAAAGTAATATATTTTACAATAAAAAAGATCATCATATTTTGAAAATATTATGCTACACTGACTGAATAAAAATATTAGTATTGTAGATAAATAAAATAAGGTTATACGCTTTCAGTGCAGTATAACACAGCAACCTTAATATATCTTTTGCATAACAAGAATACCTCAGCCAAACAGAAAGCAACACACCTGCCTAATGCTATATATTAATATTAAACAATATTCTTACAATAATCGGTATAACGTTAAGATTGTTAGCTCTATAAGTACACGATTATGTACCGCACAGATAACCACGAAGAGCAACTCAAATAACATCCTCAGTTCCACAAACTTCAGTCCGTTCAATCTTTACGCCTCTCAGGTTTTTATTAAAAACGATTGTAATATGCGCAGGTAATTTACATAGGGTGTTCACGGGACACTGATTAGCGGGTTAAAGTTAAAACCAGTAACAGAAATTGCCCCGTTAGTTTCTCATTGATATCACGTAACTTAGGCACAATCCATATTTTTTTAAAATGATGATATTAAAAATGTAAATATCAATATATCTGTAATATATGTTATATATAAAGTGTTTTAAGAAGCACAGAATTTTAAATTTACATTCTACTCACCTTCTACCCGGATTTTGTTAACTACTAAGTAATAGACCTTTTTCAAAAATTTTTTTGTTATGTTGGTACACCCTTCTTGACATATGGTACAAATTTGAGCGCCATCTGTCAATTAGTTTGTTTACAACAGCTATTAATGTGAGACTACCTCAAGTGTATTTAGCGATTTTTACTATGGAAAATTCTTGTTTTACGCAATTTTTTGACCAAACACGGCACCAGTGTCATCACTCAGGCACCATATTCGCCAGATCTGGATCCGTACGACTTTTTCGTATTCCCGAAACTCAAATTGCCCCTTCGTGGTAAGCGTTTTGAGTCGATTGAATCTATAAAAGAGAATTCGCCGAAGTAACTAAAAGCCATACCTGCACGGGCCTACGAAGAGTGTATGGAAGATTGGGTTAAGCGTTGGCATATGTGTATCGCTTCAGAAGAAGCATATTTTGGAGGAGATAAAATAAATTTGGAATAAAATTTAAATTTGTGTTTTATTTACAATTCGGGTACTTTTTGAGCAGAAGATAAAACTTGTGCAAATAAATGAAACTAATCGATATTTCTTTAGTAGTACGTGAATGTATATGTTATCTTATAGGTCCAATTGTTACCTATATTTTCAATCATTTGTGATAGTATCTTTTGCATATTGAAATCATGTTGATAACCAAACTGAAATTGATGCAGACTTATTAATATAAGCCAACGATTTTAGGTACCTCTAAGAATGAGATACATACCTTAATAATGCCAGATCACACATTTTTGGTAACCGGACAACAAGTCCGTTTCTGGAGATAATGTTGTCATCAAATTACATCTCTTTAATAAGTCCGTCAAATTCTTTCTGAAACTAAAAATCTTTTAAACCACATTTACGTTCTTTTGAAAACAAAAGCAAAACGCTTACCGTAACGTGATATTGTATTCTTTTGACGCTGACACTTCCATTTTCACAGTTTTTAAGCAACTATGACTTAATAATGCCACTAACCCATAAACTACACGAAATAGATTTTTTTTTAGGGTTTGACGGTAGCTAATGGATCGCTATTCAATATTTCCAACATCAGTTTTGCTTATTAATAAAGCCACTGAGGCAGAAATGAGTCAGACTGCTAGACAAAACATCGCGAACAAATCTAAATGGATTTGTATTGAATATAACACATCACTCAGTAAGTCGTGTGACTAACTAAGAAAAACAAATTTTTTCTCCCAAAAATCGATTTTACTCATCAATATATTCTCCTTCGAAGGCAATACAATCATTCCAACGCTTCTCTAACTTCTCGATGCCATGGTTGTAGAAGGATTTGTCTTTTACCTCAAAATAGGCTTCAGTTTCAGCAATTACTTCTTCATTTGAAATGAAGAATGCGGCACTCACATTGAAGAGAGGTTTCTAATAGTTAAATGCATAATTGTAAACACACTGCCTTCTGATATCTTTACAGTCTCAGCTATTTCACGCAGTTTCGATCAGATATAACCAATTTCTGGACTTTTTTGATGTTTTCTGGAGTAACCACCTCAATTGAACGACCAGAACGTTAACCATCGTCGATGTCTGTACGACAACGTTTAAATTCAGCAAACCAATAACAAATGGTTATTTTCGATGGAGCAGAGTCCGAATAACACTTTTGAAGGCATTGCTAAGCTTGTACAGTATTTTTTTTTATCCAAGAAGCAATGTTAAATCAACACACGAAATTGTTTTGAATCTATTGTTTTGAAAATAACAAAAGTAGCTTCACTTAAATGGCTGTCACTTTTCTTCTGACTAATCGATATGTCATGAAATTTTACACATAGTCTTTTGAAGGTTGGTACTTCATAAACGTCATATGGATTTGACAATGGCAGCGCCATCTGACTTATTAAGTGATGTGTTACTTACGTATAAATATCCAATATCAAAACGGTTGCCACTAGACACAGTGTTGGCAGCTTATATATTTAAATTCCATAAATATGCTCTGTACATATGTATGTTAAAAGTAATAATGTGTCTCATAACAGTATGGAGAATAGTGCAATACTTCTTAATACTTTTACAAATACGTACCCTGTATTTGTATTACTGTTACTGTCCATACTTATTTCTTATAACAAGTGGCAAGACACATCCACTCCTAAACGTATCATAAAACTCTGAAAAAAAAATACGACATTGCAGCCAAAACGCAAAAGCGTGATTCTGCAAGTCGTGTACTCTGAAGTGCAGTGGACTTTCATTGCTTGTTTTTGGGTTAAATAATTTAAATATAATATTTCAATTTATTAAGATGTCAAAAACATGGCAACAAAAACTTAATTTAACCGAAACCAATCTAGTGAAAGGCATTTAATAAAATTTTATAACAGGCATAGAAAATTATGCTCATTTCCAAATTGAAGCTGTAGACCATAAACCAGATTTTTAATGCATATTGCAAACTATGTACGCAATCTAGCTACACTGACAAAAAAATACTAGAATTCGAATGAGAAGATGTAGGTAAAGCAACTCGATCCAAAAACAAATTTTGTTGCCTCCAATCATCGAAAGATGTAATTGAGTTCGATTTTTACCTAAGATTGAACAAAGCAACAAGCTTATGACTTCTTTGGAAAGTTTCTCACTTGTTCTATGTAGAGTAGAATAGAGTAGAGTAGTACTCATCACATAACTAACATACTCTGTTATATATAACTAAGATCCACCTCTGGTCATAATAGATAATAGTATTTTAAACCTCCTTATACTTTTGCAATCATATGAAATCAGTCATAATAAATTATATACATAGCTATAACTATAATTTATAACAAATCTTCCTAAATCTGTCTAATCTAATATTATGCAGAGGAACTACTTTTAGATATATGTATACACATTGTATATATTGTTTTCCAAGTAACTCTATAATTTTTATTTTGTTATTTACAGATTGCAAATGCAGTCAAATCGGTGCCATATCCACAATTTGTGACAAACGCAGTGGTCAGTGTGCTTGTCTACCCAATGTTACTGGTCGTCGCTGTGATAAATGCAAGTCTGGTCATTGGAATCTTACAGAAGGTGTAGGATGCCACGACTGCCATTGTGACTCCGCAGGCTCACGTGGACATGAATGTAATCCTTGGACCGGTCAATGTGATTGTAAGATTGGTGTTGGTGGTCAACATTGCAATGAATGTACTGATGGCTTCTTTGGCTTTTCTGTTGATGGATGTCAACGTTGTATTCCTTGTGCTGGTGAAGGTCAGGTATGTGATCCCATTAATGGGCGATGCATATGTCCACCAAATAGTCGTGGATTAGGTTGTGCTCAGTGCGTTAGCGGCACTTGGGGTTGGCAGCCACGTTTGGGTTGTCGTGATTGCGCCTGTGATCGAATTGGCTCAATAGGACAGGTATGTGAGTCAAATTCTGGCCAGTGTCAATGTCGCGAGGGTTATGCAGGCAGACGTTGTGATAACTGTGCAATTGGTTACTTCGGATATCCGGAATGTAGACGCTGTAATTGCGATGCTGATGGTTCATTTATCCGTTCTGATGGGCTCATAGCTTGTGATGCAAATGGACAATGTCCTTGCAAATCATTGGTGGTTGGTCTTAAATGTGATACCTGTATGCAATCTACTTTCGGTTTATCTGCTCTAAAACCGGAGGGCTGCACACGCTGCTTCTGCTTTGGTCGCTCCGCTGAATGTGCGCAAAGTGAATGGTCTTGGGGCCACATACGCATGGCAGAATCACGCAACTTAAGCGTACAGTATGGAAATGCAGATCATGTACCTAATAATGATTATGAGTACATTGTCGTAGTGCAAATGGAGGGCGCAAAAAGTTATCAAGAAGATGCAGAAATAAGTGTAATGAATGATTTAAATTTAATACCGCGCTCCACTGGCAACGTCTCAATCGGAGCGTATGAAAAGTTTTACTATCCATTATACTTTCAACTGCCTCCTAAATTCTATGGGGATCGCACAAGTAGTTATGGTGGTAGTTTGTATTTTACTCTTTTAACTGAAGATGCTAACACTCCTTTGGAACGTAAGATACTATCACGCTTTCCACTCGTGCAATTGCATGCACATACAAAACTTGTTTTGGATTATTATGAATTCGAGAACTATGATGAATACTCCTTGAATGTAACATACAAGGTGCCACTGCACGAGTCCTTCTGGAAGTATCATCATAATAGTCAATCGGTAGATCGTGCAACAATTATGGCTGCTTTACAAAATATAAAGCATATTTTCCTACGTGCCAATACATTTGCAGATTTCTCACAAATTGTGTAAGTAATACGATTTCCAAAGTATAACTAAGATTAAACGATGTTACTTAATCTTTTATTTTCAGATTACAAAATGTTCACATGGACTCAGCTATTTTTGTTTATGGATCTACAAATATGTTTGCTAAAAGTGTGGAAAAATGTAAGTGTCCAAAACGTTTTGATGGACTTTCTTGTCAGGATCCTGGTCAAGGTTTCTATCGTTGGCGTAATATTACCGAAGTAGAAACAGTTTTCATTGAAGACCTCATTGGACGTGCTGCGCCGTGTCATTGCAATGGTCGCAGCTCCATTTGTGATCGAGAAACCGGTGTTTGCTTAGTAAGTGATTATGTTCTACTATTGTTTTAAAAATCTATTGAGTGAGAAAAGTTATTTGTAATTGAAACTACTAAAAACCTTCAGCAAATTAAATTCCTTTTTACGGGTAGACATTCGCACCTACACATTCATTTAGAGACCTTTAGTGATATTATTTTACTAACTGATTACCCTGTTAAGTGCATGGAAATAATCGTATATCAATTTGTACATTATAGACATGTCGCGAAAATACTGGTGGAGACCATTGTGAAAAATGTGCTGAAGGTTATTATGGTGACCCCAACTTGGTGTATGGCTGTCAACCCTGTCCATGTCCAGAAACTAATCGAAATTATGCTCTCGGCTGCAATGTTTGGCAAGGCGAAGTCAGCTGTACCTGCAAACCAGGGTACACCGGTAAGCTTTGTGATCGATGTCGTCCTGGTTATTTCGGAAATGACAGTTGCACGCCCTGCAACTGCAACATCAATGGCATTAGTGCCGCTGATTGTGATGCTACCACAGGTCAGTGCAGCTGCAGACCGGGCGTTACTGGGCTGAAATGCGATAAGTGCTTAGCTGAACGGCACTATTTGGAGGATCGGGGATGTAAAAGTAAGCGTAATCAGTCGCCGTTAGTATTATTAATAATATTAATATTTTAATATATTTTATTTTTAATTATTTCCATAGTGTGTGATAATTGTACACTGATTCTACTAGATTATATGAATTCAATTAATAATAAATTACGAGGCGGCATACATAATATGGATCTCACGGGCATACCACCGCCATACCTTCAAGTTGAGCAATATGAGAACAATTTCAATATACTAAACATACACTTTTATGACTATAAAAATGCACGACAAATGCTTATCAATTTCAACGTAGATGATCTTGTTAAATTAGACTCGCATGCTGAAAATATGAAGTTTCAATTCCGGAAAGCTTTGTCAACTGCTACAAAACGTGAAAATGCCGTTATGTCCTTACGGAATGCGGCAACGGATTTGTTTCTCAGTGGTAGTTCATTGCGAGCTGAAATCGTGGAAACGATTTTAAATTTGAAGAAATATGGTAAAAGCGATCATCACCTTAGCTTGCCGGCAGCTTTAGAGCAGGCACGCTTCTATCTCGATACAATACGTGAACACAATGCCTCGATACATAACATTCGTGAGACAGGCAATTGTGGTTGGCATTTTTACTATTTCTTCGGCAATGCCTCTGATGATGCTTTTGATCAACAAGCTCGCGTTGAAATGTTATGGAGGGATTTGAATCAAACCAATTTTCGCATATCCGATATGCGTTTACATGCTGATCGCACACTTGAAATGCAGAGTGAGATTGAGGACGTCGAGGAACACATTAGAAACTTAAAGAGCTACCTGATAGAGGATTATGGGAAAATACGTGAACTGAAAGAGGCTATAGGAAAACAACTAAATCAGAACCTAATACCAGAAACGGATGTGATGTTAGAAATTAATTTAGGGCGACAGAATGAATTAAGTGGGGAAATCGATACCATTGTACGTTTGGGTGCCATACTCAACTCAACGCAATTTGAGCAGGAAGATATGACGAGAGAAGTTAAAAAGCATTGGCTGCCAAAAGCACAAAAGCATGCAAACCGTTTAATGGAACGATCCAATGAATATGCTAGACAATTCCAACCAACAAGAAATGGAGCTCGTATTGCATTACTGGCGAGGTGAGTAATTAATTTCGATTCGATGTGCAGAAATAAGTCATTTTGATGCTAACCGAATACATTTACTCACGTGAGACTTAGATATTTGACGATGCGATATATAATTAAGACAATAATTTATTTAACTTAATATTTAATATTTAAAAATCGCGAACAAACTTTTTTGAGAAACTTAGATGCACGATCAAAATTTTAAAAACTTTATGGATAATAGTTTTTTTATAGCTTAAAATTACAGTTAGTATATATAAAAATATACTGAAGGCAGATCTATAGCTATAAACGTGCTTCGGAGGGAATGAGGTATTAGATAATTTCAATTATTTGAAAAAATATTCATCTTATTGAGCAGTCATATATAATTAATATTGAATATATATATATATAAACATAGTTTTCGATATATTTGGTGGAGTTTTGGCCTCTTAAACACGTGCCCTATTGAAGTATAAAAAATAATGTAATGAAAATATGACTTTTATTATTTTGGACCCGTTCCGAAATATATATTTCCAAAATAAAATATGTGAGAAATAAATAAAGGACAAAGATAGATAAAAATAAAAACGTTTAAATCTTTCTAAATATTTCAAAGAGTTATATTATTAATGGATGTATGTATATCTCCTTATAGTAAGTCTATCATGAACAAAAGTACTATACACTGTAAAACCAAACACCAATAATTTATTTCTTATTTTAATAAGCAAATAAGCGAATAAAAAAGATAGTACCGATAAATAGATTAATAGATTGAAAGGTATTACTAAAAATTAAGTAGTAGTGGTTTGACATTATATTTTAGCAAATAACTTATTTCATATTATACAGCTCGGCCCATAAAAATATTTCTGACGCTATAACCGCAGCACGGCAAGCATCGGCTGAAGCTAAAAATGGCGTTTATACAGCACAATTTACGCTTTATCCAGGAGATGGTAATTCGGTTATCGAACGCGCAAAAGTATCTCTAAATAAGTCAAAAGTTTTGCAAAAGGAGGCTTTACAAGAAATGCATAGAACAAATGGTAAAGTAAAATTGTATTTATAATATATTTCACTCTCTTAACTATATATTTTCACTCAGTATTGAAAGAAAAGCTTAGACTGCATGAACACAAAGTGGATCAAATCAAGACTAGAATTATCGATGCTGGTATACGTACGAACAATATGTCAACAATTATACGTTCATCTGCTCATACACCCGCCACCCGTTTAGCCTTAGATTCTATTGACTCGGCCCAAAAGATTTCAGACGAAATGCGCAGTGAAGCACGCAAGGCTAAACAAATGTTGGAAAGTATAAGTGGTTTACGTGAAAAATTTGCTATTCTGGAACCGGACTGGGAGATCAAATTAGGCATGGCTGAGGAAAATATATCACTGACAAAAACTAATATTAGATTGGCAAATATTTCTTTGGGTTATGTGGAAGAACAAACAAGAAAAGAACAAGTTAAGTTTGAAGTCTGGAACAACACCATGGCTAAACAATTGCAGGAGCTTAAAAATAAAATAGCTAAGGCAAAGCATGCCGCCGAAGGAGTGAGTATATAAATCGATTTATTATTCAATTGGAAGAATTTTAATATACCTGTAATATGAGTATTTAACAGTCATCTTGCACAATCATTAAAGTAATAGTCTTCAGTTTAACCAATTAATAACCTTTATTTAATTATAATTCCATCATTCTCCAATTAATATTCGATCGGGAATTAATCATCACAAAATTTTCAGTTCCTCGCTTTTTAAGTACTAGGGTGTTGAAAAATTAAAAATCTATTTAGCGCTAATCCACTATATTCTTAAAATTTTATCGCCATACTAAGCAACTTATTTTAACTATTTTCGATTATCGTCTAATATGTTTTCATTCAAATTCGTTTATTCATAAATTAATTTCATATTTATGGCATTATAGATTAAAGTCTCACTAGAATCCGTGAGCACAAAGTGCGTGCGTTCTTACCTATCAACATCTTATGGACTGACCACATCAAATACAATTAAAATAAGTTTTGCGCTCTCCAATCGAAATGGTAACTCACCATTACTATATGTGCAGGGCGCTGATGGACGTTTTATTTCTTTGGAATTGTATAAGCGACATGTGCGTCTTGTTTGGAACTTGGGTGGTACAACAACTACAATCACGCATCCACTTGAAATACAGTCACGCGACTCTAAATATGATGATGCGTGGTATCATGTTGAGGCAAATCGTACCCTTAACGTTGGAAGTCTGCTTGTACGACGTATGAATAATTACGGTAGTCTGATGCCATCAAATCCAGTAATAGGCAATACGGATGCAGAGCATACGCGTTTCTATGAAAGTAGCAATGAGCGTATATTCCTAGGTGGATATCCTGCTAATGCACAGAAGAAGGAAATGCAAATCAGTCCTGGATTAAATGTTGTTGTTCATAATGTTGAAGTCGATAATAAGCCATTAGGTATATGGAACTTTGTTAGTAGCGAAGGTCATTGTGGTGGAGCTATGCTGGGTGCGCAAGAATCTACAGCTGCATCTATAGCAAGACACTTCAATGGTATAGGTTATGCTGAAGTGAAGAAAACTCGTCCCCGCCCATATCGTAAAAATCTGTTCGCACTGCAAATGACTTTTAAAACACTTGATGAGAATGCATTGTTATTCCTAGCGGTAGATGATAAAAATGTAAGTTTTTTTTATTCTATATAAATATTTTAATGTTAATTTTTTTATTAACGTGCTGTTAGAATCGCTCTGTATCAGTCACTCTCAGTCGTGGTCGCATTACGTTCCGCATAGATTATGGCGATGAATCAAAATTGGAAATCAATACCACAAACAAATATAATACAGGCAAATGGATCAAAATTGAGGCAGCGCGTGAATTTGTACCAAAGCGTGGCACAGAAAACGGCATATTACGTGTGAATACTGAACGCGTCATTACTGGCTCTCCAAATGTTCCTATCAAAAGTCATATGCTACCTGATTTATCAAAACCAGTTTATTATTTGGGCGGTGTGCCACCAGGTGAGTCCAATAATCGATATTAATACGACTATACTTTTATACGAAATTACTGAAAAAATTTATTTCAAAGGTTTTACATCTGGTACCACTAAAGCACCAGGTGCTGATAATCCTTTCCTTGGTTGCATGATGGATGTCCAAGTTAATGGCGAAACCTATGATCCATTGGAAAGTTCAACCTATTTTGGTGTTGAACCGTCTTGCAAAGACATGATAACAAAGTAAGTTCATTCGATGAAAAACAACTTCAAACCTTAGTATGAATCTTTATATGAATTTGCAGAGCCGGTTTTAATGGCAATGGCTATATGGAATTGTCGTCACAGACTCTGCGAAAGCGTGCAAATGTTGCTTTTGTTTTCCGTACCTTACAAACAGATTGCCTGCTACTGCTGTCTGCTTATCCGCCAGAAGTTGAAGACGATTATGATGAGAAAGACATAAAAGGCAACTACTCTATAAGTTTGGTAAATGGACAACTGCATACTTGGATTAATTCTGGACGTAGCTTCATTAAATTAGCATCTAATTCAACATTAAACGATGGAGAATTTCATGTGGTGAATTTAATTAAAAATGGACGCAGATTTGAGTTAATGGTCGACGATAGAATACAGGAAGTTAAAAATTTAAACGGTTCACCTACTTTAGTTAGCATGCCACGCGATGCTGGTGGCTTATATATAGGCGGTGCGCCACCTTATGAAACCTATACACCGTTAGCACCCACTTTTATTAATCTTGAGGGCGCCATACGTGATGTTGTTTTCAACAATCGGACAATCAATTTTAATGAAGCACAAAATTTTGCCAATGTACAAATTGGTCGCAACGGTCCAGTTATGGGAAGTACAAATGGTTTTATAGATGTTTTATTAAAGACTGAACCAATGATAGGAAAAAGCTTTACGGCCGCGCCGGAAGGATGTTTAAGGGTAAGTTAAATTTCAATGAAAGACGCTTTTATGAATGTAATTAAAGCTTAAGCGATGAAGGTGACTTGTTCAAGTAGTATATATTCAGATATTATTTTTAATGTTCCACCACTTTAAAATCATTAAGCGAAATTCATTAACATAGTCATTGCATCAAGTATCTACCGCTTTTATTCTACAATTCTGTATTCTTATTGTTTTTAAATTAGTGAATACTGCATCAAACTATCATTTATCAAAAGTTTTTAATCTATGATAGACATTCCCTTTGAAAATCTTCTTATGAATTTCTTTCATTTTTAAATTTAAACTATGGGAATATAAGTTTTATAAATTTTATAATATTGGAGACGAAGCTGTTCCATAATTGTCTTTCAAGAGTTGTCTGCCGGATTTCGTTCCATGAATCAAACTACCAATGTTCAGTGTGGATAGAGTACAGTCAGGTGACTTGTGGGCGGCCAGGCTTACCTGAGCCTTAAGGGTTCCACTCAAAATTATTTTCACAATGGCGGTTTTGTTTTTCCGGAGTACGTTTCCAATCCAATGCCACCTCCGGCTTTAAACTTTGAGTTCTATTGGTATATGGTGAGAAATTGGGTGTTTGAGATTAACAGTGGCCAGAAAATTTTAAGTATACGAAGGAGACATTTATTGACAAATACTGGCAGTTTCTTTCGGATGCGTTCTATGACTTTCCACGTTTCAGATCCATATGGAAGGATTGATTTGATGCAAGTGTTAAAGATTTTCAAATTGGTGCGATGCGAGATAAAGTTCAGGGACCAGATTTTCTTCATTTTGAAAAATGAATGACTGGCTTTACTAATGCGAGTTAAAATATCGTCGTCGGTCCCTCCATTCTTTGTAACGATGCTGCCGAGGTAGTAGAAACTATCAAAGTTGTCGATTGTTCTTGAGCTGTTGTCTACTTCAACAACGAGCGGCGAAGTGTTGGTAGTTTTAGGACGCATTAATTTACTTTTGTTGTAGTTTATTTTATAACCAATTTTAGACAAGAAGCAGACGTCGTCGATATAGTCCGAATCATATAACCTATATAATGAAGTTATATTTCTTGTACTGTTACTCCATCTCTAAAGAGTTAAGTGATGCTTGATCAGCTTTGTTTCTTATTAAGCAATCCCGACATTTGTCGCGTTTTCAATCTTTCTCTAAATTGATGTACTATGTTGAACTTACTTGCCAAAGTTGCCACCAATCGCTTAAGCTTTAAATTTACATATTTATGTATCACTTCATATATATCGAACATTTAATAATTAGTTATAATGGCATTCTTTCGTGCTGCATGTAAATACAAATCAGTTTAAAATTCTTTCTCTCTTTCTTTCTTATTTTGTAGGATTTTAGTTGTTAAGAAAAAAAGCTCGAAGCTCTCATTTCAAACTGCAAAAAGCTACTGCTATTGTTGTTGTATACTAATAAAAAAAAAATATAAAAAAGCAAAGCACAATTAACAAATATTATGGGTCGGTCATCTTGTGGATTAATACCAAAAATAAAAAATAATTATCATCACATTACCTTAAACAAAACTCTGTAAAAGTACTAAGTTAAACATTTATTTCAATACATTTTATAAATAAGCTCATCTAAGAATTGTTCATATGAAACATAAATCACACACCTGGTATTGGCATAGAGTTTTCATATATATAAATTAAAATCATAATAATTACAAAATTATTTCAAAAATATAAAAAAAACTATAATTTTTACATATTTTGTATATATTTACATGTTTTCTTATTATGAATTAGTTATAATAATAATAGTGTTCCGAATATAACCTACTTAAAAATTAGTTCATTAATTTTAAAGCCAAAAGCAACTAATCTACATTTTATTATCATAATTTCTATAAATATATTATTATTGTTTGAAAACTTTTATAAACAAATTTATTTACTATATCACTCATTCATCATCGCCTATTTCACACGCTTTTTGTGTCTGTTTAAGCTTTCATTTTTGCTTAATTTCAACATTTTTAATCATTAAATCATTAAGAAAATAAAAGCTCATTTTTATATTTTTTATAATTATTAAAAGCCATAAAATTTGTAATTTTTTATTTTGTTATTAATAAAATTTTTGAACAAAAATCTTAGAACGTTTTTTATTTGTTTTAATTAACAAGAATAAAAATATGTTTTGGCCTAACAAAGGGGACTTTTCCAACACTAACAACTCAAAAGGCTTTCTTAAACAAAAAAAGATTTTAATAAAACGCTTGATTAAGCCCTAAAAGCTCAAACTAACACAAATCGCGTTCATATAAAATCCTTTATCAAGGAAATAAAATGTAAATATGGGTAACTATTGTTTCTTCAAAAGTCAGCGGATGTTATATTAGGCTATAGCTCTATTATTAGCTCTGATTATATATTTAAAAAAAAAAAAATAATGTGAAAAAAATCTAGTACGCGTCTATCTAGTATCCGTATAACTATCCATATCATTGGAATGTGTTATGTTTGCATAAATTACGAAAAAGAATCATTAGGACTGATTGAAGTATCATAAAACAAAAATCGTAGTAAAAAAACATAAGCCTCTGATAAGCATATAAAAATTTATAAATTTTTAGCAAATATCTTTAGATCATATAACATAATTTGTACATAACATTTTCAATAACAAATTAAACTGCAGCTCTAACTTTTGAAAAAAAGTGCCTAATCAATGTGACATTAAGCATTATTGTAGCACTTTATAAGAAATGGTGATTTTATTTATTATAAAATGAAATGATTGAATATAGTTTAGTAACTCGTTTCAATATGATTTAATATAGTGGTTTTCAATAAGATTTAATCGACTTTTAATATGTTATTTAATGAATTATACTAATTATCTAAACATTTCTTACGATTTGTATAGTTTACTATATATAAACAATTATAAATTATTATCAATCAATTTTTAACAAATTATTAAGCTAAGCTTTTATAACGCAATCTTTAAAAAATATAAATATTACTTTCTTTCTCTCAGTCTTATATTTCTGTCTATTGCAATTAGTTTCAAAATTTCTTCACATATCTTTTTTATAATCGATTTATTTTCAACAGTTACTAAAATCATTAGCTTCCGTTCTAGTTTAAATTAGGTGTGTTCCACGAGCTACTCATAGTAAAACTCTAGTAAAATACAAGTAATGTACAAACTGAGAGCGTAACAAAAATAAGGTGCCAAATTATGCTCTTTAGACAGATTTTCATAGATCAGCTTTGTATAAAGTCTGGTGAGAACACTAGTGCCGCGCAAATAAAGAATACAAAAATTTAAATTCAAACCAAAACAGCTCATTCACACATTAACACCAATTTTACTTGATAAAAAATGTATAAGTAAAGTCCATGTAGCATTTTCAAATTGCGACAGGGATGTTACAGAGATGCTCTCATTTGCTCAAAAATTTACTGGTGGAACGCACTTGTGTATTCATAAAATACGATTATCAGCTAATGCGGAATGCAGATTATGCCTCGAAGATGAGGAAACTACTATGCATATTCTTTGCGACTGTTCAGCTTTAACAACGCACAGTAGTAACTTATTTCATATGGAAAATCTGGCACCAAAACAGATTAAGAGTTTTTCTCTAAATTTAGTTCTGGACTTTATTCACAAAGCTTTAAAGGGCTTTGTGTAATCAATAGTGAAATTGGTACAATAGGACTCTTCTAACCGCAGTATCGGCTGTCGGGCAATTTCATGTCTATAAGTTTATTAATAATATGTGTTAGTCTTACGCGACATCTTTATATTGCTTGAATTCTCTCTTTGTCGATTTCTTTCATTTTCTTCACATACGGTCGGTCATACTGTTTGTATTAATCTTTATCAACTTTACTTCACATCCATATCTCATTATTTTACTCTATAATTTTTGTTTCATATATTTTTATTTTTCATAGACTATACTTTTTAACGTTCTTATATCAATATTTTTCTCATATGTATGCCTTTTTCTTCTATTGAATCTTTCTCTAACATCAATTTCTTAATCCCCTATAAATTTTTTTATAGACCTTTGTTTATAACGTTTTTCTTTGTATACTTTCACACATTTTTCTGTGTCATTTTCTATGGCATATTTAATCTTTGCATTTTAGTGCTTTAATAGATTTGTCTTAGTAACTGTTGTTATTTTGTTGTGGATAACTCTTCCGACAACCTAATCTATATATGCGGGATTCTTTTACAAACCGGACGGATTTTGGCAAAAAATGACCTCATGATCTCCGATTTGGCTGTTATTTTTTTTATGAGCTTCTTTTATAAAATAAAAAGACCTGTATCTCGGGAAAAAATTTTGTTATTTTTTTCCTAAGAGATATGGACTCATGGGACAGATTTTTGTTTAATTTTAATCCAGATCCAATAATCTTTATTCAATTTAATTTATTATTTATCATTATTGTATGTATTATATTCTTATATTATTCTATGTAAAAGATAAATAATTATATATCGAAAAATTAAACTATTTTTAGTATAATATATACCAGTTAAGATCTGCTATCCAGTCAATATTGTATATAGCCAGCGCTTTTAGAATTCTGTGATATCAAATGACCAAAAAATATTCTAATCGGTTAAATAAATATTTATTAATAATTTCTCTTAACTCTACCAATTCTGTGCAAAATATGATCACGGGACCTTTCACTGGATTTTATCTTATGTATTATAAAATCAATTTTAATCAGAAGATATAAAACCTGTAAACAGAAATGCCAAATCTTTTTGTTATTTGAAGTAAAAAATGTCGAACGAAATTCCGTTTCTTGTAAGATTAAACAGCAGTGTTAAAGGTCTAGTTTTAGTCATTTTCTTTAGATAGTCGATTGTATTTTTTATAATCTAGAATGCATCTTAAAATACTTACTCTACCTGCCTATGTAATGTAATATAAAGTCTTATTTATTAAAATATCGTGAAATGAAAACGAAATTTTACCATCTAATTCTATACAATTTTCCTCCCTCAAATATTCATTGAACAGGTCGGCAGTTATTCTTACGAACCAAACGCTTTTAAATTTGGTGATAATTCATATAGCTATGCACAACTACAAGTACCGATGCGAAACTTCTGGCAAAGAAACTTTCATATATCCTTTGACTTCCGTTCCTTCTATCCAAATGGTGTTATATTTTTGTCGCCTGGTGTAAAAGAGAAGCAAAAACATTATGTGTCACTCTTACTGAAAGACGGCCAGTTACTATTGATTGTACGCGGGAGACGTCGTGAAGAACTGCAATTGACCGCCAAATTGAATGATGGTGAATGGCATCACGTGACCATAAACTGTCACGATCGTAAGGTCACTATGTCAGTGGAGATCGGACGTACCGATCAAAAAACTTCAGCTCAAATGAAAGTACCAAAGAAAATTGCTGCCTCCAATGTATTATACGTGGGCGGCTTACCTGAAGCACCAGTGCTTAAATTGCCTGCAGAACTGATGTCAAAATTGGAAACATTCAAAGGTTGCCTACGTAGAGTGATGATTAATAATGCAACACAAGATTTGGCAAGACCAGGGAAACATTTGCATGTAGGTCAATGTTTTCCAAAAGTAGAACGCGGTTCATATTTTCCTGGAGATGCATATGCTGTATATAGTAAGTTAAACTTATATCTATTATATTATTATATATGTATTAATTGTATGTATAAAAGTAAATATTATTGAATATATATATTATTTCTCATTATTGATCATCAATATTGTCAAGTGAAAAATTATCACATGTTTTATTTAGAAGTTTAAAGTTAAAATTTTTTATAAAAATGTTGCAAAAAAATTCTAGAGATTTACTTGACAGCCCGCAAATTGCATCTGTGAATTGATGAAATTTATAAGTCATTATTAATAATTTATATCATTTTAGAGAAAAACTTTAATGTTGGCAAATATTTGGAGTTAGAAATGGAATTCCGCACATCCGAACTTTCTGGCATACTCTTGAGTATATCTGAGCTTACCGGCTTTCCATCTCTTTCACTAGAAATGAACAATGGCAATGTAAATAAAACACAATTTTTATTATCATGTTTAAAAGTTATTAATCACATATAATATCTAATAGATCATTTTCTCTTGCGATCTGGGCGATGGCATGCCATTCCGGGTTAAGTCCCAACTACCCACTAAATATGCGCTTTGTGATAATAAATGGCACAATATATCCGCACTTTATGATTATGAACAAATCGCCTTACGAATTGATCAAATGCCCCCTGCAATGGCTTTAGCACAACGTCATGTTAATGGAAAAGTACAAACGAAGTCACCTCTCTATATTGGTGGTATACCAGGTACGTAAGTTTTTTAAATATTTAAACTATTACATTTTATATTATAACAAATGATTGCATAAATATCAATAGAGATACTGTTTTTTACGTTAAAACATATATTTATGGCATCAGTGTTCCCCAAATTAAAATTTCGTAACTCCATATAGGTTTCATTATCGACTTGTATAACAGATTTTGTATTCAAGTTGTAGCTTAGATGACATGCCCATAAGCCAATGCAATGAACTTTGTTTTATATTTATTTGTCTTTTTAGCCTCTATGTGTTCATTCCAGATTAAATGTCTATCTAGATATATTCCTAAGTATTTTACATAGTGGTTCATGGGTACTTTTTGTCCATTAATTGTAATATTGGGATAGTTTTCTGGTCTTAGAACAAACGTTATGTTATATAGGGACATATTTCTTTATTGACTTTGATACGCCATACTGATAACCAACACTGAAGTTGGTGAACATTTACAGTCTTAAAAACAGAAAAGATTTTACATTTCCCCTAAAAAATATACATACATATGTTATAAAAATTGTTTTTAGAAGCACATTCACAAAGTGATTATAAACACTTCCTAAGAGATATTAAGCAATTTACTTCATCCATTACATTAAAGAAAAAGCTACATCAATCAGTTTAGCTATATAATATTATATCCCAATATATTAATAATGGTAGTCTAACATATAGAAGGTATAACATGTCATATAATAAATAAATGTCTTGATTATGATCTTCTAGTTTCAATGAAACTAGAAATAAGCATATATAAAAAGATCCAGAAATATAGTTATAGTTATTTGATACATGCGAATTTAAAAACGTTAGTGCGAAAATATAGTAATCAAGAAAGGGGAACATAATATCGCCTATTTAGGTCGATGAACAAGAAATGTTTTATTTTAAGTAGTAGTATTATTATTATTGTTATTAAAATTATTGACCCAATATCGCCCAACAGCCGGCACTGCCAGAGAAGTCCTATTGTACCAATTTCACTATTGATTACACAAAGCCCTTTAAAGCTTTATTAACAAAATCCAGAAATCCAGAAATGTGGAGAAGAGCTCTTAATCTGATGTGGTGACAGAAATTTCATATGAAATGTAATAGTTACTCTTACACCAAAACAGACTTTAACTTTACACTTTATATTTCATTTATTTCCACTAAAACTTTCACTTCCTCTACTTTTCAGATATTGCACCCAGTGGCTCATTGCTTTCGCGTGAGAATTTCAAAGGTTGCATACGCAACGTTTCAATACGAAATGAGAGACGCGATTGGATAGATATGGATGCACTGCATAATGTGCTGCTTAGCGAGTGTCTGATTTCAAGTTCCGATAACTAAGAAACATACGCTCCTATCAAAGCTGCCAATATATATGTGATCAACTATATACAAATCTTATATCAAAAAGCTGCCATTAAATTATTAAAATTTATTTTTATCTAATTTATATTAATTTATTGCGTACTTCAATAAGAACTGCCATAATGTGTCATTTAGCTATCGGACATGCAATTTAGTTATCGATATGCAATTTATTTAATTTAAGTCCTTAAGTTATTCATATAAAAATAGTTTGATATTAATCGAGTATGATGTCATGTTTTAAAATGTTTTACTTAACGTTCCAAAAAAATATATATTTTTATTAAATAATTATAAAAATATGTTCTGTAAAATAATTTTTATATTATCTAAGCCAGTGGTTGCATTTAAATTATGTATTAATATAAAGTAACATTTTTTCACATATTTTTTGATATTTATATGTTGTAAATTCATAATTAATTTATATTAAAATTTAAATTATTTAACTTTTCAAATTATGTATACAACATTTGATTCTTATATTTACAGTAGATGTGATATATAACGAGCTACATATATTGGAACTTTTTTAAAGGTTTCCAAAGCGATGCTACAATAGACTTAAACCAAAAATTGTAAACCTTAAAATATTTATTAAAATACTTATATTCACAAAAGTTTCAAATAGTCCTCACACATATTCATTCCTTTACATATAATGTTTTTTAAAAATTTGAAACAAATCTTACAATATATGGCCCATATATTTGTATATATAAATACATATCGAAGACCTTAGAAGCTTTTCAAAAGTGTGTAGACCAGTATTTCATTTTCAATGCGTACCTATATATTTCAATATTTTATAATATAAAATTCTTTCGATGCTTAATTTTAATTCCTTAAGCCAAGTTAAAAACCAATATATTATTACTATGTATTTGTTTAAAAAAATTTTGTAATTCTAATATAAAAACGTTTAAAATATTAATATTAAGGGACACATATATTTCCAGCATTGTATACCAAGAAAGCCCACTTGAGCTCAAAATAATGGCGCGTTGTGGTACCACAGGAATAGCGTTGGTTCGAAATTTTTAGAAATTACTTTTTTTAGAAATTTTTAGTATTTTATTTATAATGGTTTTTATATATATATATTTATATATATACATTTATTTATTTTTTATTTTTTTATTTTTATTTTTTTATTATTGAAATCATTTCTCCTATATTTCTTTTTATAATTTTAATTAAATTAATTAAATTAAATAAACTTTAGATTGATATTTTTTAAGTGTTACGTACTTATCACATTTTTTTTTATTCTTTATTTATTTACTCATATACTCATTTTTATGTCATTTTTTTATTTTTATATAATTTTATATAATTTTTATATAATTTTTTTTTTGATTTTATTTATGAATTAATGTATCATTCGGATTTATTCCATTTATTTCGAAAATTTCCTATTTTAAAATAGTTACTGCAATATAAATTTTAATATTAATAATTATTAAAGTAAATAAATAATAATTTATTTAATAAGACATTTAATTCTTGTAAGTCATAACTTTTCAATGTTTTCGTTAAAGAAAAGCAGGTCTTCAGTTATCTATTTAGCATACGTCTTGAAAATGCTGGCGTACGATCCTAACATTCTTCAAATGTTTGGAATGTTCTGTAACAGCAAGTAAGGAGTCATAATATAGCATCCATTCAAGTAAAAATTTTATGAAGAAATGACTCATTCATTAATTTTTAGTTATATTAAACGTCTACTAGTGTTAAATTTATTTTTTTTTGTTTTAGAAGAGGCTTTAATTTTTTTATACATACACGTATTTAGTTCTCGTTTATAGGTATTCTATAGTTCTTAAGTAATAATTTGTGTCTTAAAGGCATCGTTCGTTTTACATTCAGTTTATATTTGAGTTGAAAAAGCAACTGGAAGCTACTTTTTATATACTTCTTTCTTTCTTGGCTTTCCAAAGCCAATATTAACGTTGTGTATTAGAAGTCAAAACTGTCATATAAATGAAAGAAAAGACTTCCCCATTTATTTTATTTTACAACTCAAAAATTTGAAAAGAACGTTTCTGGCCAGTCTCAACGCCTATGCTTTGTTCAAACACTTTTTTCAAATATTCTTTATTGCTAATTGAATCTCTTATATATTGTGTAATGTAAAATTAGCTTATATTTCAAAAACTTAATCATCTGTAAATAGTTGCATTTATTTAGAATATAAGCACCCATATAATTACTTTATAAACTTAATAATTTAAATGATTATTATAAGGTTATTTTAAGAAAACTTTTTATAATTACATTGCTATCAAAAAGTTTAGTACTAACAATTAAATTTATCTATTAATATAAACGAGCTTATTATTAAGTAACTTACATTTTATCATCGAGTTCTAGTTGTAAGTAATTTTAGTATAAAAATATATCCAAAAATTATAATCACCATAGAGTTATTAAAACTTTTTAATATTTTAAAATAAATTAATTTAAAAAAAAAACAATTGTGTGTTACATTATATAAAACATAAAATGGTGAATCTGAGTATCCAAAAATCGGTTTAAGTCAAAGTTTCACTGATAGAACCAATATGACTATTACTGCTGATAGAATTAGTAGTGATAAATAAATGATGAAAATGTTGAAACTAGTTTAGACCGAAAAAGACAAAGTAAAACACTTATGGGTGGAGCCAAAAAAGCTACAATACAGCTGTGAATAGAGTTCAGTTAAGTATGAGTAGGGCTATAATTAGGGCTAACTTTAAAGATAGACAACAGCTGCGAAAACGAATGCAATGCTTTTTCTTATTTGGAACAGTCTGATTGCATTTAACTTGGAAAATGCAGAGCAATCCTTATCGTCCCTAACCCAAGTTGTCGCACAGCCTCTACGTGGCACTCCTGGATAGTTACCTGGTTTACAATGGATGATGAACTAAGAGTACGTACGCGAGTGCTAACCCCAGGACTTTATACTTTGGTTATGCACAGAATTTGGCACACGTTCAATAAAATAAGTCGTCATTAAAGTATATGCATATCTGACTTGAAAACGGATTGTTGACGAGCCACTCAAACGACTAAAGGACAATGATTTAATGATATGCACCTAGAATTTCCGAACACTTTATAGGGAAGGTGTCTCTATCTCACTGGCGAAGCATTTCAATAAAAGTAAGGCAAATGTAAAAAGTTGAACATGTGTAGGATCCAATTCGGGACGGTAACTATAAGCTGATGACTCCCAAAATACGTGCAAGAGAAAATCAAAGAAATAAATTCAAGAAAAATTTTATATTTATATTTTCATTGCTAAAAAATTGGAATTTTCGTTGTCTAAATTTAATTCTTCCACAGTGTGCGGTGCTACCACCACATATAATTGAAAACTACGTTGCTATATCCAGCCCTGACAGTTCTTGCTGCACATTGACGACGTCTTTCAACAACGAATTCTTTAGGCGGAAACCTCTTAAATACTATTATGTAATGCAGCAATTAATATCTTTAGTAAAACTAAAGTTAATAATTTTCATATTATGGAATTATGAGATATATCAGCCATGTAATTATTAGCTGTCAAAGGTTTCTAGGCAAATGCCACTTCAAATTTAAATTTAAACTTAGTGACCAAAGCATTTAAAAATATTTTATAAAAAAATTTATTGTCTAAATATTTTGTTTCAAAGTTGTTTCAAATTTATTTCCTGATTAAATATCAATTTCTTAAAGGAGATTCAAGAATATGGAGATAACAACACAGATGGCTCGCATAATCTGCAGTACAAAAGACAAAAATGGTAAGCTTTACTTTTATGCAATTTTTTTATTTTTTATTATATTGCAATATATTTCTCAAATAACGCCATTTCTTGTTAAAGCAAAACTTAGAAAAAATCCTATACTAGCGACACAAAAAACTTGTTCCAAACAGCGAATGAATGCAACCAATTATAAATCTACAATCTGGGATGCGCTGAGCGGTCCCAAATCGGATTCAGGTAAGGATTCACTGTTGTTAATTATTATACGATAAGTATTAACTTTTAAAAATTTACAACACACCTAAGGCTCAAGATGTAGGGAAAAAGTAACCGCTGATCTGAAACGATTTCAATATAATTTAGAAGAAAAAAATAAATTCTTGAAATCTACAAAGACAAATATTGAGACGTCCACTGCTAAGGCACCTATACCAAAGCACACAGATTGTTTGCCAAAGCACACAGCTTATAAGGTTTATGCACCTAAAGCATTAGAACGTTTGAGATATGACAGAGTAAATCAGCCTGCACCAAAAACTAAAATAAACCCAGTCAAAATGGATGAAAAACTTTCGTGCTTACAAACAAAAGCAGTCCGTAGCACAATTCCCCTGAAAAATGTTCCTAAAAATGATGCAAAAAATAATATCAAGCAAAGGTCACCTGCAGACACTCGGCTTACTCAAAAAGTACCTGCTGAAATTGGGAAAAAGGGTTTTGCCAATATAATTTGTGGCGGAACACAACAAACTAATAAGTCCACAAAACTTAAGATTGAACAAAGCCCTCCAGATCCATACTTGAAGCATGGAATTTGTAGATGTCAATGTTCGAAAAAAAATATTGCAACCACAAGTCAAAATGGTGGAACCAAAAGTCAAGATGGCATGGAACAACCTCGTCGACCTGTAGTTACTCCAAATGTTATCAGTGATTGCAAAGAGGTAGTTGCTGAAGCTAAGAACACGAATGCAAATGTGATCAAACCACATTTAAAAAATGGTGGGTTGACTTACAGAATAGAAAAAGATTGCAGTTCTAATTTAAACATCCCATCCATCAACATTGAAGAACCAATTCATAATGCAGAGCTAAGTAAGAAAAAGTGCCAAAAGATCTCAGAAAACGTAGACAAGAATAAATCTCAATTAATAAAAAATCGTTTAATACGGAAATCTGAAAATGGCAATTGTTCCGGGATTAAAAGGGTTGAAGCAAACCTCTGGAAAAGCAGCAACCACTAATAATAAATTATTTATTTGCGTTACATGTAAAATTCACAATTTTACATAATTTATTTATCATAAAGTATTTAAGTTTGATTGAATATTGACCTTCCGCGAAAATAAATCACCACATGGAACGGAACCAAAAACATCGATATTTATTTTTGATAAAATTCAATAAAATGCTTTTTAATTGTTTTTTAAATTTTTTTTACATTTTAATCACTAAAAGAAACCAATGGTCATAAGAATGACCCTGAATCTTCCTTCTGCAACTATTAAGTGGAGTAATTACAGAAAACTCTTATGGCTTTATGGTAGCAAAGAACAAGTATTTTGTAGATCCAGTCTTAAGTTCGAATATTTAAAGCATGCTTAGCCCGATATTAGGTTCTTCTATAGACGTCATATCCTTACCTATTCATATTAATAGCAGATATTTTTTAAGTAGTACTATAGTATACCGGTATCTTCTGTTGATATCATATTTCTCTTGCCATTGCCAATATAAGCAGGATTTAGTGATTTACAAGAAGTCTCCAAAATCTTTAGATGTTTTGGGAGCTACAAAAAAACTAAACTATAAATAATAGATCCAAGATTCTGTTATTTTGCACATATTAGGTTAGTTTTAAAAGTTGTCCGTGATGCAATAAAAATATATCCATGCAGTATATTCGTATATAAATAAATTTTTATAATATTATATAGTGTATTATTTATAGTGAATATCATTATTGCTAACTCTGTTATATAATATTACATATATTACTGTTTTTAGAATGAGGTGGATATATAATTTGCTTATTTTATTTATTTAAAGAACATGACTAAACATTTAGAAGAAAAATATATATCCATCTTTTTCTTATTTCCATATAGACCTTTAGTACGGGCTTGTAAATTATGACATATTATATTAATTAATATAATAAATAATATAGCAATTGTTAATATTTTCTGTTAACTTCTGTTTTCATTGGTATAAGTGCTTGATATAATATCATAATTTATGTTACTATGTTTTGGACTCCAATAGTACAACCTTAGCTCTGGATGTCAAATCGGCGTTTAGAAGTTACTGCAGCTATTAAAACCAACTAAAATCGGTTATGGCTTATACAGACAGTAAAAGCGATTGTGCTAGAGCTTTCATCTGAAAATTAAACCTCCACTACAACTACTAAGGATCCTTTACCCAATTTCATTTTTTTTAAATTGATTTATAAACATTTGTTTCATATTTATTTTATTGAATATTTGCAATTGTTCATTCAATTATATTAAACAGTCTTCGAATCGAGGACTGAATCCTTCAAATAATCGACATTTTAAATTACCAAAAAAAAACTTAAATAGCCATTTGGAAGAACAAGTAACAACACAGTTACCTATACGATATGTGTTAGCAATTCATATGTAGATATGGGTCCATCACACTTTGTATACTGCTGGAAATATTAAATTTGTAAAACCGGTATTTATGAAAATCTCTATCAACCTCTTTTATAAGTTACGATATGCAATCATCACGAATACGGTAAATAAAGAACTTAGGTGCGAACGAATTCATAACTTATAAGGTGGGTTTCCATATACGCAACAGTTCATAAGTTCGTATCCAGTAAAATTTGTCAATCCATAAGTGTACAGAGTTACCCAATGATGGGCAAATGGAATGGTAGTCAGTTTTTGCATAATCACAGTCCTGTAATCGTGTAATTGTCCTGCTTCAGTACACGAATTCTGCTGCGTAGATCAAAATAACTTCATAAGTAACTAATATATCCGTTAAATAAACAGTTTCCGTTAAATAGATTTAAACACAGTCCGGATATCTGATTTTCTAAAAAATAATTGTTTAAAAAGTGAAATTAGGTTTTTAAAATTTTACTGACATTATGTGCTCATAATCCAAAATGTGCAACATGTAACCACATTCAAACACCTTTCAATCTATAATATTAATTGCACTTCTTAGTAAAAATAACAGCAGTAAATTATACGATCTCCTTAAGTTGATAGCCCCATTGTAAAAGTTATATGAATTTTATGCAAATTACGCTTCCACCAAGTATTGACGAATACCTAGAAGTCCTCTTCTAACACAGTTTTCTTCTTAAAAATTAACACAGGATACTTAGCACAAGCTAAATTGGCAAATCATCAACTAATTTCAATAACAGACGATTTTTAAATGAACACCCAAATCCATCTTCCAAGCAATATAAACTTGGAGTTCTTCTGAGTCAATACATTGTAGAAAAACGGACCTAAGTCTTCGCATCTTATTTTATTCCAAATCTGAAATACCAGCAGTCTTTTAATTTTAATTTCATATTTCAATTGCTTTCATTTGTTGTGCTCCTAATATAACCGGAAATGGAAATGATTTCATATTGAATATGATCACCCAAAATCACATGGCGTGGAATTTGTGATTTGTGATTCAATGTGGTACATTATTGTTGCAGCATTAAAATCGTATTGCCTTTACCTTAAAAATAATGAGAGTATAAAAACAAAATAAAAAAAAACATTTAATAATGTGAACCTCTACATGTGGCCAAAGTTGTGGGTACTTTCATATTGCACAGTCCTAACCCCATTATAATTCCTGGTCTGGAAACGATTTGCATACCAATCAGAATGTAGCGCCGAAATAGCACTCGTAGAATTAAACAAACCTGAAGCGCTCCGGGAATAGTCTAAAATTGGAATAAAATTAGAGTCGAAAGTGATTTAAAAGCCTGACTTTATTAAATATAAATTTTACCTCTTCATTAGATAATAGGTAGTGTTACGTTCCACACAGTTATGTAGCTATAGTATTGTTCACATTCATAATCATAGATTATAACACCAGTCTATTTGGAATTATATAACCGAATGATTATCCATAGTCATTACAAATAAAAAATCACAAGAAATTTCTAGAAGTGGGCGTCCATAAACACAATACATTAAGAGAAAGTAAGTGTTAGTCAGGATGTGCAGGGGAATGTGTATTTCAATTCTGTAGTCGCAAGAACGCACATGGACAGGATTCGGAATGTATTCACAATGTATTACGAAATTTGAAAATTAGGGTAACGATGAGGTGCTCTTGCCCAAAATAAAATGAAAGCATGTCGCCATGTTAATCCTTTAAAACCTTCGCATGGGTTGTGTTTGTGTGCAAGGTACTTATCTGATAAAAAATAGATAAATAGATAAAATAATAAGTTGCTTATTGGAAATCCAATATATGTGTATATATATAGGTATATATGACATTTGGCATATATGATATTATGTGTATATGGCATAAGTCATATATACCTTTATATCTTTTAAGTAAGTAACTTACATTTTAGTCTCTCACCAATTGGTTATATTGGATGTCAAGTAGTAGTGATATCAGAATTAGAATTTTTAATGGATATGTTACAATGATAGACGTATTCATATATGTCAATGAAGACATTAATAAAATAAAAATAATATTAACAGAAACTAATAATTTAAAAATTTAATAAGACATAAGCAAAAAAAGAAAACAAAATAAAAGTAACCAAAAAAAATATAGAAAATTAAAAAAACAGAAAATTAAAAAAAAAAATTAAAATGTGAAAAAAAAATGTTTAGTCCTTATCGGAGTGAGACCACGATTCAGAAGAATTGGAATCGATCTCTAATTTCTTTACATTTGCATCATATTGATACAATTTCACATGCATGATATTATTTTTTACAATTATTCTTTTACATTTTGAGTTTCCACAAGAGCACCTCCTTTTTACCAGAAACGATAATTTTTTTAATTTGTTGGCAATCCTTATCATATTGTTCTTATTGTAACGGCCATATCGACTACAAGTGAAATATAGACCACATTTTCCAGAACTATCTGAATATGTAGTATGTAAAAAAAATGTAATCTATTTAATAACATTCTTCAATCTATTTTGATTAACAACTTACCCTGCCAAGACATGTCATTTGGACGTATATAACGTCTACGTAGTGCATCCTTCAAATCTCTTTCTCGTACCTTTAAGGAAATATTAGAAAACTCTATATAGTATTTTCCACCTTCATCCTAGTGATTCTGATTCTTACTCATACGGTAATAAATCCAACTGGCTTTCTTTTCTTTTCTATGCCCTTTTCTCTTTTTGTATTCTTGCTCATCTTCTTCATCGATCTATCGATCTATTTGGTATTAATTTTTTACTTAATTTTATTGAATGTTTTTTTTTTGTGTAGAGACATGGTTTTTCTTTATTCTTCTGTTTAACATTAGTTTCCAGAAGTTATCGACAGAATTTGTGAAACGCTAGGGAACTCGTCCTATCTTTGTACCTTTTGCAATCATATCATACTTTTGTATCATATATCGTAAACAATATTGCAAGTAACTTTTCGATAACTTGTATATTAGACACAGTGGTAAAGATGATTGTTCTTGATATGACCATATCACATAGTACTACTTATAAGTGACCTATTACTCAAATCGCTAGTGGATCGCGTCCAATACAGTAACCATAGCGAAATAAGGCGAATGATGCAATTATTACAATATCCAGTTAAACGTTGTTCTTTAATTTATTATCTTCACAATTATTATGAGCATATTTTAAACGTTAAACATCCTTTCATCGAATGGCATTCGTCGGATACGGACAAGAAATATTAACTTTTCTCAGCATATACAGTATACAGTAGTTTCATTAATAAAATTTTATTAATTTACTTAAGTTTTTATTTAGCAACTTTATCTTGTAAATACATCGATAAATACACAATTATTTTATAGATTTTACTATTACGAAAGAATGGTTTATATAGTCAGTTTCTATACATATATTTGTATATATTTGTGCATGAAGATAGGTAACATTTAAAAACTCAAGTTAACCCAAAATCAAGTACAAAACTAATATAAAAACTAATTGTCTAGTTATGTATATCTCACGTCTATATAGAGAATTGTATTGTATCCTAAATCCATTATGAAATCACTTACTGAAAAATAAGTTTACTAAAAGATAAAACAGAACAATTATAAAAACGATTTTAAGCAGAATTAAAATAAACTAAATAAATTAATTATAACTTACTATGTAGTACTAATATTAATAGATTATATTGAATTTCTTAAAACACGCTTTACTAGAAGTAAGAAATACCATAATAATATTTTGACAACTACTTATGGCTGTTAATGTTGTTCTAATCCAAAGAGGTTGTCTAGAAAAATGAGTAAAACTAGACTCATTTAAATACTTTAAACGCAAATATTTTAAAAATAACCTATTTTCACCTATTATACATATCTATTTTCAGTTTATATCAATAATGAAAACCATATTCCAACGACATTTTTTTGTCAGTTATATAAAATCGGTTTGCAAGCTATGAAAACCTAGTCGAGATATAATTTCAGCAAAATATTAAGTTGACTTTTCATTCATACTCATCTTATATAGATTGCTTTCCTAACATCATCTTAGTGCATAGGCTGAATAAATGAACCTATTTAGATAATGTTGAATGCAATCTTCTTTTTAAAAATTTCATGTGTTTTGAAAGACATACATCACACATTTGGGAAATTTTAGAAAGCTCTAGAAAACAGGAATTTTTTAAAACAGGAATAAAGTGGTAAAAAATTGCATAAATACCGAAATACTGAAACAATTCTCAAGACGCGTCTTAAGGCCTAATTTTCTCTATAAAATATATATGTTACATATTTAAGAATATTTTGAAGTCCACTAGTTTTTAATTATTGATTTATAATTTGTGCAGGCTTATGTGAAAAAATTTAAAAAAATTTAAACCCACTAAAGTTTAACACAATAAAGCAATTTCAAAAAAAAAAAAATAGGTTAATCAGTAAAGAATTAAAAGTATGAAATTTTATCCTTAACTGATTTGAATTTTTGGCTGACAATATAGCTGTTTCGAGTTGTCGAATACTCATTATCAGTAGTATTTAAATATATTTTTTGAATTTAATGTTGTTTTATATATTTTCCATCTGGCTATAGGTCGCTTTTTGTTCAAATTAAAATTAAACGTTTGTTTAATATATTTTAATATATATCATATTTCAACTCGCCCTGAGCGTCATCATCAGGATCAGGATCTAATACAAATTAATATTAATCTATATTTAAACGTCTCATATTGCACTTAATATAATGCAATATAGACAGCGGAATCAACAGTATGATGTTTAGATATAGATTTATATTATTAGAATGTTAATAAACCTCTCATATTGCACTCAATATTGTGCAATATAGACACCGGAATCAACAGCATGACGTTTAGATAACTTTAATTAATATTAATTTATGTTAGATACTGATCCTGATATTGACTCTCAAGGAGATTCGAAATATAGAATATATTAAAAAATATACGTCTAATTTTAATTTGAACAAAAAGTAACCTATAGCCAGAAAGAAAATATATAAAGAAACAAATCCAAAATTAATTTTTTGAATTTAATTATTTGTCAATACATTTGTGCCACAGAGTCACATTTTAGACAACTGACCCGATAAATTTGTTGTTCTACTTTTACCAAAGACGAACCACATTCACACATAACTAAATTTACTTTTATAGTTTTGTTATGAGATTTTAGTATTAGTTTTTGTAATGAATTGTTTTGTGAATAATTAAATCTGTAAAATATATCTAAATGCCTCGTCAGTGGTATTTATTAGGCAATAACCGAAACAGCCAAAGAATTAATTCTTAAAAAGTAAAATGTTATCTTATTTCATTGTTGGTTATAGCACATTCATACTATCTCATTTGAGCAGTTTTACTAATTATAATCACCCATGAGGATGATTAACCTTACAAAAATCTCTCATATAAATAAACTTATTATCAATAAATGAGCTCATTTAAGACGGAAATTGTCGAATGCAACCCTTAAAAATAAATTTCCCACAAGGGAAATTACCAAAAGTTGATATATTAGTTATATACTTCATATGTAAAATGTAAACAAACAACAGCTGAGCTGTAAACAAAGGCACTGATGAAGTAAATTTTCAATAAAATCTTTCTTTTTATTAATTAAATATGTAATTGATAAACAAAATGTATATAAATGATTTAATCTCTCAATTACATATTTAATTTTTTTTATGATATATATTATTAAGTGAAGTTTATTAAAATTCTATCAGCTGCATAAATGAGCTCATTATAATGTGAACGCTTCCTCATTAATATAAATGAGCAAGTGCCTAAATGAGACAGTGTGAATGTACTATTAGTCTTTTTCTATTACAGGTTCATATTTTAATTAATTTTTTTTAATTTTGTTTATAAATTATTTCTCAAATTATAAATATGAAATAATTTACAAGTTTAAGTGAAAACACTTAAACTGGACACTTAATACAACCCTTTTAATAGCAACCCTTTAAACACTTAAACTGGACACTTAATACAACCCTTTTAATAGCAATAAATATACATACGTATATACATATAATATTCAAGCAGGACATTTAATTTGTTAAAATTTATTTGAAAATAATTAAAAAAAAAGGTGTCATTTGTATAATATTTTGGTTGAAGAATAAAAATAACACGAAATATTTATAAAAGTATAAAAAGTTGGAATAAAATATTCTCGTAAACCAACAGCAAATTTAAAATTATTGCACCGTGTCTAAACTTTTATATATGCATACATTTTTTGAGTTTTCAATTGATTACTTATATATGTTCCACTTAAGTTCTAAAACACCTAAAAACATTTCTTTATAACATTAACATTTTTATAAATAACAGACACATTTTTAAGCTCATTGGTATCAAAATAATTTTTTGCGTAAAATATACAAAATTTTAGCTTAAAGCAATAATCGCATAAAATTATATTAAATTTATTATGATTAAATAAAGCTACTTAAGTCAAATACACTAACCACACATAGGTATAAATATAGTAAACAAAATTTAAGATCACCAACTTTGCATCTAAATTAAAATGTATTGGCTTTTATAAGATGATTTAAATATAAATTCATATTTTTACTTATTTCTTACATTAAGCGTAAATCTTTAAGCATTTGTGCCAAATATTATGCTCCTCTTAAAATAAATAATATAGAATAATAAAGCCTAAATTAGCCTTAATTAAACTTTTTCTTTGGTTAAATAGCAATTTTAAACATTTCCTAAACGACTTATTTAGGAATATATTGTACTATAGTTTATACTAAAGTTGTGTCAAATCAATACAAAAACCAATTAAATAACTATAACAGCACAAGGATTTTAAAACTACAATACAAATTTGTAAGAAGGTATAGTTGATTACATATATTGATTTATTATATTATGTGTTTAATCTCGTAAAGCTTTGCGTCTCTCCCATGCCACTTGCATAGACCAAATACTTAATGGTCGCATATAACCAATTGAACGATACCGTTTCTCACCATAAATTGCTTCAGGTGTTTCAAAATTCATGCCAATACGTTCTGATAGAGTCTTATATAGACCGCCTGCTGTTTGAAAAGCCTCTTCGAACATACCCTGCAAAAAAAAAGCAATATATACCATAGTTTGTAAATTCAAATTTCAGTGATGTGAATATATAAATTAAAGAAAGTTAATATTAAAAAATTAATATTAACTTAGTTAAAAACTAATTAACTGCTATTGTTTTCAGAAAGCTTTAAGAGTTACATATTAGACTACCTCTTGTATCATAGTAGCAGCTAAAGCATATGTAACACCGGGCCAAACTTCTTCACTCTGCAATGTAGTAGTGTCAACGTAGCCTGGCTTTTCGGCATCCTCATTGGCAATGAAACCATTAGCAGCACCAATATTACCACCATGGAAGCCCAGCACGTTATTTTGGTAAATACGTTTCAAAGCTGAACGTACATTTTCTTTTGGATAAATCTAAAAAATAAAAATATTGAACAATATATATTAAAATTAATAGAGTGAAACAAATTTAAAACAAAATAAATGAACATTATTACTAGTACATCGGTTATAAAGACTCTATTAATTACAAATTAAATTAATAATCTTATTTATGAGGGAACTAAAAAGGGCACATACTTTAAGATTAGTTAGTGAAAACCAAGCACTGGAAAGAAAACACTTTCACTAACTTCTCTGACAACTCTAATGTTTTCTTGTCCCTCTGCACACACTAATCTTAGTCCAATCGACCTTTGAACTCATCCCCTTGAGGTAGCTAAGTTTTTACGGCTAGACCCTGATTGATTTCAATTATACCCTCCCTTCCCCTTCCCCTTCTCCTTTCCAACTCTAACTCTAACTTTACCCATCGTCTTCCTGCCCATGTGTTCGTTTTGAAGTCCTAACATGTTTTCTGCTTTTCAGATCTAGGCGTTCTACAACAAAAACAACTTTAATGTTCTTTGAACTTTAAATTCAATTTCTTTGTGTGCTCAGCTTACTGATTGCTGGGAAAGTGTTGAGGTGTCCCATAATTTTATAATAACAACAATAATTAGAATAAGCAATTTATTTGCACTGAGTGATCATCAGTAATCATCGCAAACCTTACGGGATGCATTACAAAATACTTTCATATTTTTAACACATTTTAAAGAACGAAACTAAAACTTTTGAAATCTTTACTTAAACTGTATAAAGTATTTATAGAAATAGCAAATTTTTACAATCTTTATAAACTACAAATCTACAGTAATATATTTCAAAACAAAACAAAACTAACTTATTTTATAGCTTAGTTAGTAAAAATATCCCATTATTCCTAGATTTAAAACCATTAATATCAATCTAGAAAATAAATTATATTCATAATTACGAACGTACATCATAATCAAATCCACATGTTTTCAAATACCAATGGCCGCATAATTGATCTGCCATGATGGTATGCTTATGATGATCAGATGTGTCAAATCGATAAAAACTGCCGTTCCATAGTTTCTCATCGAAAGACCGTTTGCCTTTATCTAAGATTTCTTGAAAACGCAAAAAGTCATTAGGTTGATCTAATATATTCGCCATACTACACATAGTCTGCAGTGAAGCTAACCATAGCCCTGCACAATAGGCACTGGGGCCTTCCATGGTCCATGTATCATATGTTTGATCTGGCATTTTTGTGTTTTCAATGAGTCCATCATTATCTTTATCGTATTCTATTGTGCGTTCAAGTATAGCCTTACAAGCAGGATACATGGCTTTTAAGTAGGTTAGTGCATCCATTAAATAAACTTTGCCATTTGTTTCGTTGATATACATTGAAGCGGACTTACGATTTTCTGAAATTATAGAAACTTTTATTATAGCTACTATAGATCTTATGCAATATGAAGAAATATTTACGTTGCTTTTCTTCAGCCGAATTTTTACGTTTATTATCTTGTGCGTACATTTCGTATAAGCTATCCTTATCTATAAATTCAATGGAACTAAATTTACTGGCATTATCAGCCTGAGATTGTGCAATTTCGCTAAGTACATAGTAGTCTCTGTAAACTTGTAATATAAATTTAGTATTCAAGTCCTTCCATTCGTTGACATCATGTATGTTATAACAGTTGATAAGCGTAAATGGTTCCTCATCCGGATCACCCAAATCATGTGGCACACAATTTTTAACTTTCCGTGGTAAAACTTTGCCATCGTACAGCATTTTACGTGTGTCAGAAAGATCAGCAGCAATGGCATCCTTAAAATCATATTGCAAGCTTACCTGAAATATACAACAAATATATTAAAATAAAGAGAATAAAAATGTATTCTTAATAATACAACCTGTAAATTTGGCCAAAGATGCGCTAAAGCTGCTGATGCATAAAAATGTACATCGTATGTGTTATACATCCGATATTCATGACCCTCTAAATAGCCAAAGCGTCCATAAGCAAGCCTATGGAAAATTTTTGAGTTAAGCTTTACTTCAATATTACTTATAAATGTGTTTGCATTCAGCAAAGCACTAAGCTTACCTGGGATCATCATACGATAATTCCTGACCCAAAGATGACTTGCACTGCAACCAAATTGTCCCGCCGTCAGATATAAAATATAACTGATTGAATATTGCACATTTATACCATTCTGGTAATCCTCTTAAAATAGCACAAAAACATACATGTATATCGCTCAATATTTTTTAGGTTTAGATCACACTTACTCATCTTCTAGTATCGGATGCTGCCACGCATCAATTAATTTCTCCCAACTGGAGTAATATTTAAGTGCATAATCGCAAATTTTAGGACCAGCCTCACCGGAATCATCAAAATATTTGGTGTAATAACGAGTATGCATAATAAGTTTTTTTGGAAAATGAATTTTTGGCATATCCCAAGCCAACACAAATTCCAAATCATGACTAGCATTCGGTTTAAGAGTTACTTGTGCACAGAGAGCAACAGCAAGTTCCTTAGCTACATGCAATGAGAAAATGTTGAATAAGAACTTAATTTATTCTAACATAACATTTATATATATTATATATTATGCAAAAATAATTATTTGATTTTAACATCATTGTAATCAAAAGATTTTTTAATGTATACTTAATGACTTACATTTTAATGTCTCATCTAAATGTTTCTCATTTAGATGTCCGTGCTCTTTCAACTCTGACCAGAGTTGTTCTCCGCTACCCAATGGATCGAATTGAGTACAGCGCGTAATACTGATTTCAGGTAAAACTCGACATGCCAAATTATAAGCACACGGCATATCGCCAATTTTTTGACGTATAGCCACACCTTTAGCATTGCCTTCTGAGATAAGTATGGCATCAGCACCACCATCAGCGTCTTGTTTTTTATTTCCAGTACCATTTTTAAAAGTGAACGTAATAGAGACCTTGCGATCTTCACCACAGACATTCTCAACTGACCATACGAATACTGCGCACGGTAAGCTTGACTCTTTATAATCATGCGGTATAACTGGTGAGATCTGACGACATATTAAACGTATGCCATATTCTGAAAGGTCATATTCGGTCCACGAACGTGGATATAGGCCCGTATATGAACATTTTGATTCGTCGATGTTGAAATGCCATGAACTAAGCGGCTGTTTAGCGCGACTACTGCAAATGCCCATATTAGTTTTAGAATATGAGGTGGTTGTGATGTGAGGATTAGAACTGTTATTCGATGTGTGATGTGTATTTTGTTCGTGTTATATGAAGGTGACAGTAGTATTAGCATAGATGATGTTTGAATTAAAATATAAATTTGTGGCGAAATGAGGATATCGTTTGAAAAATTAAGATGATGATTGTGAATGTGGAACGTAGTGGGTAAAAAACAAGGATGGGCATATAACCGCAATTAAGACCAAAAGAAGCATTTAGGGGCAGAAATATGTATGAATAGGTGGTGAGTAAAAGTTGAGATATTTTTTCATTTTTTGTTTCATAAAGCGTGTAAAAATGTTCATTTTTGAAAAAAGAAGAAAAAGAAATAATAATTTTAATATATTTTTTGTATTGAATTTAATGTTGATGACAGCAAAAACACAAAATTAACAAGCTTTAGGTTGGTAGGTCAAATTACAATATACGAAACAACAATGATATAGTAATAATTAGTAATACTTTAGTTGAAGTTTAATGACATTTGGACATAGGGGGGTTAAAAAGAAAGTGATACATATCTTTGTATCTGAGTTTATATGAATCAGAATAGAATATGAAATGAAGTTTTTAGCGATATGATAAAGACCTTTCATAGTGAATTTCAGTAGAGAAGAACAATGACGCAACAACGAAATAAATTGTAGAATCGGTTTCAGCTATTTTTTAATATCTAATTTGCTGTTGTTGAAAATTATGTATACATCGCACCATAAACTTTTGTAGTATAATTTAAAAATTTATATACCATTTTTAATTTAAATTATATAGAAGAAATAAAAATAATCTTTCTTATTTTAATTCTCTTAAGTAAACAAATTGTAAACTATCCCTTAACATATATGCACATATTAAATAAAAATATTTTTTATAAGAAGAAGACATGCGAAGTATAAATATCATTGTTAATCTCATAATATATCATTTAAACGAAGTCATCATTAAAATCTAATCTTCTTTAACAAGGTAAGTTTTGAAACCATTGTAAATATTCCATAAAGTTGGTGTGCCTAAAATGTTCATTGCAGAATCATACTTTTATATACTCGTATGTTAACAGATTAGTAACTTCATTTATTATCTGAAGTCATTACTCAAACTGATTTTTATAGCAATGATGGATAGCAGCCCATAAGCAATAAGCGTGATATTAACACGCAATTTTCCAAGTGCCTTTACATACGGTACCCATTTTATGAGGCCGTCGTTATAATTACCCGATAGTAATCACATAAATGAAGTCATCTAGGAAAGCCCATACATACGGTGCGGTATTGTGTACAATAACAAAAGGCTTATTAACATAAATACACTGCACAAATAGAATAGGATACAAAATAAAACACTCTGAGGAAGGAGTAAAAAGTGCTAAGACAAAATAAAAAGAGAAAGAGAAGACGTAGCGAAAATAACTTTGAGGATACAACATGCAAAGTAGCGCAAATAATTAAAATTTGTTCATTCGAGAGCTTTGCAGGATATATGTTAATGGCTTCAGTTTGTATTATGAGGTGCCATGTATGCAGTACACAAAAGACTAATAAATTATACACAAGGCAAAAGCTATATAGGTATATATACGAGTAGTTATGTATGTAATTATATTATTGCAAAGTGTTAAACGTATATCCTTTGCATGTATGTTTTAGGAATGCAATATTACTTATACATTGTAGATGTTATGTGAAATACACTAAGTACAATAGAGTATACGGGAGTACATAAATTGTTGCATATTCAAAATACTTAACTTACCTGCACCTTGATAACAAACTTTGAAATATTGTAGATCCTTTGCCATCTTTAATAGTCACAATAAATTGATTTGCTTGCACCACATTGTATTCATAAATGCCAGGACGCATTTGAAAGCGACAAAATTCACCGCCATAACCACGACCGATTGTGCCACCACCAATGCCACCCAATGGTACGCCATATATCTGTTTACCATTCTCCATGTAATAATAATCCATATAGACACGACGGCCTTCACGCGATACTTTCCAATAATAGGCCGCATATCTGTGTTGAACAGCACATTAAAGAAAACAAAAACAAAATAAATTAAAATTATGAACAAATTGTTTAGAACATTTATTAGTAGGGAAATATATATGTGTATCTATAACATATTTATAGATTAAAAACATTGGGTGGCTTTTTCAGATCACATGAAAAATTATTCGTTATTTAGTAGCAAAGTCTTTGCACAATTAAGTAGGAGCTCAAGAAATATTCTTATTATGCACAAACATAAAATATGAATTCAGTACTATTACAGTCACCCCTACGAAAATAATTGGACAATTAAACTACTATATTAACTTATACTAAATCGCCTTAAAGTGTAGTTGTGTCATATAAATTTACAGTCTAACTAAAACGTCACAGCATATAAGCACTATAGCTTCTAGCCATATTTCTCCACCATAAAAAACTTTCTGTCTTTTATAGTCCTGATGTAAAAAACAACTGACATCAAAACCATTTAGCATAACGTAATATCGATCGTTTAACAACCGCTTAACATGTTAAAGTTGTGAAAACTTCTAACGAAATGTCGATAATTGTCTTTAGTGACGAGAGACATTGATAGATATGTCAATAACCAAAATTTTCACATTAAGAGCAGTGAAAATCTACAAGTAAATGTTAAATGCATTGCATTCACATTAAGAGTTGTGATAGGTCAACTCTGTTTTGAAAATAACGATGATGTGACACAGATCTTAAATAAACTTTGATAGCAGCATTCACATAATCACCAATTTTTTGTTGGTGTGAAATTATATACACAAATGTGAAATATGTATATGGGGTCTCAACAAAACAGTATCACAAGCTACACAACGCATTTTGTTTTTGCCTTATTGCGCAAAAAATATCCCATATATGTACTCTCCTGTTTTGGTGAACTGATTTGGCCATCACTATCATGTAACTTATCACCACTGATCTTTTTTATGGGGTTAAGTAAAGAGTTGTAATATTGCGAACAATCCTTAGTCCCTCGACGATTTAGAAACGTATATCCGTTAAGTTACGATTGAAAATAACTAGCTATTTATATGCCAATAAACCATCGAAAATTTCTTCGAGAGGACCCAGTAATGTAGGATATCCTGGTATTCCGAACAGGATGATATTTGAATAATTTTTTATTTTATATCTGAAGACAAAGTCCAAACAATATATTTAAATAAAAATTTCATCAAAATCTCAAACACTAATATGTTTTATTTATATTTACATTCGGAACCACCACATTAAAAATAATAAAGTGTTTCCAACATGTGATTGTAAAAGAACAAGAAAACAAAAATTTAATAAAATAGATAACTAACAGTCAGAATGAAAAAAATCATTCCGAATTAAAAAATCTCTTTGAAAAAATAGAGTACATTCAAATCATTTATAGCTTCTCGACTCCTATATAATAATTACTGAAAAATAGAGTACATTCAGTTTGTCGACTCTTTATTTTTACAATTAGTTAGGAGTGATAATGTGTGATTATTGCAAGTATATTTAGAATCTTTCAAGGATTTCATCTACTTTGGCACCGCCGTAACGAACACCAATGATGTCAGACTAGGAATCACCATGCTATTAGGTACTACAATGGGCTCAGTAAGCAATTGAGATGTAGAGCTCTCTCTCTCAGCAAACGAAAGTTACGCTCTATATGTCGCTCATTCTCCCTTTGCTTCTGTATAGCGTAAAAGCATGGACAGAATGATCACTGAATGATGAAGCAGCGTTCGAGAGAAAATTTCTTCGTAAGATCTTTGGTCCCCTACGAGTTGGCGACGACTACCGCATACGAATGAACCACGAGCTGTATGAGCTTTATCAAGACATTGATATAATTCAGCGAATTAACATCCAGCGGCTTCGCTGGCATGGTCATTTCGTGAGAATGGATGAAGATGCTTCACCGTAAAATATGTTTGAAGCAGTAGTTGGCGGAAGAATACGTAGAGGTAGACCGTATCTCTGGTGAAGTGATCAAGTTACGGGAGCACTAATTGGATTAGATGTACGAAACTGGAGAAGGCACGTACACAGTAGAGGCGCCTGGGGAGACATACTGTGTTATGGCCAAATAAGTAAGTAAGATTGTTGCTTTGGATTTGTAGTTGAAAAAGCGCTTGTAGCTTTTTCAGCAGTTGATAAAGCTCCGATGAAAGGCAACATGTTGCTTTACGAGTTTGTAGGCTACTGCCATTAATACTAATTTTTAATTCAATGACGATGAAACACGTTTAGTAATAGGTGATAGAAGACATATCGCACTACTGAGCGAATATTCCTATTCAACTTTTGAGAATGCAAAATATAATAAGAGTCTAATAATAATAAATACAACAAATGCCTCCAACATTAGAATAAAATCTAAAACAAAGAAAATAAAAAACGTGATCCATCCAAAATGGTATAGAAGGCCTTTTGAAATAAAATCAAGGCAGAAGCAAACAAGATGAGAAAGGAACTACTGCTTTAATGTATGGTGTTAATGTATGATCTAACGAAAATACTCAAAAGGGAAGTGTTATGATAATGAAATACTCTATAATCAATAAAAAAGTAAAAGGTATTATTTTCTTTAATTGTGTTCTTACATTGTGAGTGTATATGTAAGAGTTATCGATGGTATAATCGTCACGCACCAGCGTCCACACTTAAAAATGTTTCGGGAAGATATACTCACACTTTTCACTGACTTATACAAATTTTTCCCAATTTAACTAAAAGCTGTAAAGCAAATTTTTATATACGAAAAAAGTATTTTTATATTCAAAACTTATCAAAAACTTGCTGGTGTGGACACTAAAGCCAATGTAAACATTTTTTTAACATAAATAATTTTGGGTAATATTTGTAATATTTGCTATGTGAACAATCAAAATAACCGCATTAGTAGTTGTAGAAATCCTTTAAGGCAAGCCCTAGTCAAAAGTTTAAAAACCTTGTAGCGAAGCAACATTCGAACAAACACCAAACGAACTAATAAGTGAAGAATGATGTCATAAAAAGCGTACACAACAAATACATTACGAACTCAAAGAGGAAATTAAGTTAAAATACATAAAAAGAATATAAAACGGAACAAGTAGTACCGAAACTAAAACCAAAAGAAAATTAGTGATATAGATTGCGTTCACATACGACCAATAATGCCGAATCCGTACAGGCTTTTATGCCTACAAGTAGGCAACATATTAACACAGCAGAAAATATGTTTCATATTAAGTTAAAAGAGACTTACTTATATGTAGGGTATGTGGGTGATATGAGTGGGTCATCGTTTGTATTAGGTATACATATATAATGAGCATAGTTCAAGGTTACTTTGTTTGTAAGTCAAGTGCAATGACAGCTGTTTTATGCGATGCTATGACTTGTAAATTTTCTTTCACCATTATGACATATGGACAAATTGGGTGTAAGTATCCGATAACCACAACATAACAAAATGTCAACTTATATTATATATATATATGATATATACATGATATGATTTCATTTTAATCATTATTTTATATATTAGATAAAAATTAAATTATATATAAAATTAAATTATTAAATGTGATTGATATATATATATATATATTATTAGGTTCATGTTTTTTTGTATATTCATACTTTTAATACAACTTCTTCCCCATTCGTCTATTTCAATTATTAGGTCGACACGTACTTTTCGTTTATTTATTATTTGTTATCAATTAAACATTTTTAACCATATTTGAAAACGGAGATTACTTCATATTTTTATTCCAGAGAGCTGTCGCATACATGCATCGCTACTAGTTGTATATGCATCTCTACTACTAACTCTACATGCATCTACTTTAGTAAATAAATGTGAATTACGGAAACTAAAAAAGAAAATATGGATTGACAGCATTATATTTGCTACAGAGTGCTTTATACTATATATATATATTAGATATAGTAAAAGGAAATCCATTATTTTCCCAATAGATGGCTTTAGTTATATGTATCCCGCGTTGTCAAAAAACTTTTGACAGTTTAGTAATTGGTTAATTCAGTTTTGTTTGACAAAAACACGCCATATTCCACAGATTTTCTTTAATAAAGGCGAAAAAGCAAGCCAGGCAGTTAAAAATATGAATAGTGTATGGTCCTGATACTGTAACAGCCAATCGAGCGCCATTGTAATTTCGATGTCAAAGTTGCAACATGCACTGGAAGACCAATTGCTAAAAATATTGATAAAATCATGCACGTTTGTAACCATTTGAGTAAGTGGGATACAAGCCACATGGCTTAATGCAAAACAACCTCGTGGACTGAGTTCCCATCTGCGAATCGCAACAAAATCGACCCATTGCAACTTGGTTCTTCTTCTCAGTTAAGCTTAACAAATATTATATTATATTACATTGTGACCGAAAGGTTTTCGGAAATTCTCATTTAAAATTCGCGCGCTGTATATTTTTCGATATTTTAAGTTTATGTAGTTTGGCAGCACTGTCCTTAATTACTATGCCAAAAATGAGCGCGATCTGTCGGACAGTTCGTTTACGGCAGCTGTTGAAACCAGTTCACCTCAGTAGTGCGTTGCGAAAAAAACAATGGAAAAAAATATTGAACAAAGAGTTTGCATCAAATTTTGTTTTTCGAACGAAATTTCGTGTGCAGAATCGTTGCGAATGCTACAAAAGGCTTATGGGGAATCAGTTTTATCGAAAACTCAAGTTTATGAGTGGTACAAAGCCTTTCAGGACTGTCGTACGACCGTCGAAGACATGCCGCGTTCTGGACGACCTTCGACCTCTACCACCGACGAAAACATTGAAAAGGCAAAGGAAATCGTGTTCAAAAATCCTCATGTGAGTGTTAGAGAGATAGCACGAGAGCTAGGCATCGGTCGTGAGATGGCTCGTTTGATTTTGGTGGACAATTTGTGTATGCGACGTGTCAACGCCCGGCTTGTTCCGATTCACCTCAATTTGTTCAACATTATCAACGATTTTAAGGCCAAACATTCAATA